ACTACCAAGAATGCTGTTAATGAAGGAATAAGACCTGAACTTCCATCAAGACATCGTCATCAGTCATCTCCTGGAAGCGAGACAAATAGTGTATATTTATCAATAAATTCAATACACACAAAATCATCATCATCAATATCATCATCATCATCAGCATCATCAGTATCAACATCATCATCAACATCATCATCATCAAAATGTAAAACAAAATTTAGATCTGATTCAGAATCTAATTATTATGATGATTTTAATAATATTTCAAATACAATAAATAAAAATTAAGTAAATTGTACAACAAGTTGTGTAATGTGATATCAGTGGGTTTTTATTTTTAGTAAAATCTTGTATTCGCTTAATATACACCTGCTTTCTCACAGACACGGCTTTATTTCCTAATACATTTGCAATTCTGAGACATCCTCTTACAGTGAACTACTCATGCTTCCAGAGAAAAGTAAATATAAACTGTGAACTTCTCATTATCCAATTTTCTCCTCTACTTTCTTAATGCATTCTTGCAAAAGTTCAGCTCGAGTTTCTTTATTCGCTTGTTCAATTTCATTTTAGGCTAATAGTAATAATGATGATAATATGCTTTTCTGATGAGCAGCAACTTGTCTTTTTGAGCTATCAAGCCGTTTGGTGCTTGCGACTTTTCTACACTTTCTTGGTATTCTTCGGGGATAAGTTTAAGCCTCTTCTCTTTTACCAATTGACAATTCTTTTGTGGATTTATTTAAGAAAGATCTTTCTAAATGACAAATAGGTCTATTCTTATATAAAAACATAAATGCAAAATCAATTAATTTGCGTAAGGTAAACCATGGAACTGAAGTATTTTGAAAAGGAGCAAAATGAAAAAAAAAGGCATCTTATGTATTTAAATCAGATTATCCTTGGATTATCTAAAGATGAGATAATTACTTGCAAAGTTTACCAAGAAGAGAGAGGAAAAAAGTTGAATGGAAATGAGTTATTATTGCCTAATAAAAGTGGAAGGAGAAATAAAAAATAACGAATTACCAAATTTTTCTTTCTAATACTTTTAATAATATAAGTTATAATTGCTAATCATAATCATCGGCTTCACTTTCCTTCTCTATTTTATATGCTTGCTTGTATTTTTTCGGGGAGCTTTCTCAATGATAATATGACAAGGTTTCTTTTATTATGTCTGGATAATATGGATTTTAGCTTTCCTTTTCTGTATTGGTTTCTGATGGTTGATAGTTTACTTGAGGGAGTTTTTGAAGGAAGGGAACAGATCAGCCAACTATGTTCTTGATGAAAATAAACTGGCAAGGAAGGTCTTTTATAGGATCAAGAGATCTAATAGAGGTGAAAAGCATTTACGATTACCTGTAATAATGCTTTAGACAAAATACAATATTGTGATACTTGAAAATTTTTCCAATCAAATCTAGTGTGGAGGCTTAGAGAAGTTGGATTATGAAATTTCAACACTTTAAATTTTCCGATGGAGTTCAAATTATGGAAAACAGAAATTTCCCACTATCTTAAAGTTTAATAATTTCCCATATTGATGACACCCACCCCAATGTATAATATCATTCACCCTTTTGTTAAAGATAAATTTAATAAAGATGCCCACTTGATCTACAATATCAATGAATAAATATCACTATCACATCACATTACATAATTTAGTGTTGAGCACTTTGTACCACAGAAGTTGTAATCAAAAATCTTTATGGAATTATCCATTAGTGCTTATTATAGTAGTTTTACGCCAATCTCGGAGTCGGGATTCCCAAAAGGAAATTTTAGAGAATTTTTATGCCAAGGAATTTTTATTGTTTATTATATATGTGTGCTTTTTTTAGCAACTAGTAACTGATAATAG